CTTGTGCTTGTCTCACATTCTCTTGATTACTGAAGCTTTACAGTAAGTTTTAAAATTAGAGAATGTGAGTTCTTCAATTCTGTTCTTCCTTTTCAAGATTGCCTTTACTATTCTGGGTCCTTGGCATTTCCATATGAATTTTAGGACCCACTTGCCAATTTTTTCAAAAGACCATCTGAGATTTTGATAGTGATTCTATTGAATCTGTAGATAAATTTGAGGACTATTGTCTATCATCACAACAATATTAAATTTTCTGATTTGTGAACATGAATATCTTTCCATTTAATTAAATCTTCTTTAGTTTATTTCAGTAATATTTTGTAGTTTTCAGTGTATAAGTCTTACACTTCATGAATTATTTTTTTAAATATCATTGCTAGTGTGTAGAAATACAATTGAATTTTATAATATTGACCTTGTATTCTACAACCTTGCTGAACTACTTTGGGCAGCTGTGTGTGAGTAATCTGAAAAGAGTAGGAATATGTTTGGAATAAGAGAAGAATGGATTGGTTGATGACTAGAATGATCATTAACATGCACTAAGCATGCTTGCGACAGGTGAGTGCTTTTCAGCTTTTAATATGCACACGGATCTTCTGGCAATCCAGTTAAAATATAGACTCTGATTCAGTGGTTTTGGCTTCTGCATTTCTAGGAACTTCCCAGGAAATAACTATGTGCTACATGGCTTTCATTTATTATTTTTAACCTGCAACCATCCTGTAAAATAGATAGTATTGTCCCCATTTTACAAACAAGAAAATAAACTCAGGGGATCAGCAAGTTACAGAGGTTCATGGAATAAGTAAGTGACAGAATCCTGCACTCTAGAATTTGTACCCAGTTCATTTGAATACTTTTTCTACTCTACCACATTGAATTTCTAGAGTAGGGAGAGGATAGTTGGTACATGCATGATCTATGGATCAGGACAAAAAAGTAAGCATTATAGGATTTCAGAGGGAGCTGCTTGAAGTACATTTGGATGTAATCCTTGAGGTTGCTTAGGAGAGCTGATCAGAAAGGACATTGCTTTCAATGGAGATGAGAGTGAAGGTGTGAGACTGGAAGATCATGTAAAAGCAAGATGATACTGGTAGATAGAACTCGAGACTAGAGAAGGTCTAGAAGGTGCTCAAGTCTAATCAGGTTAGGTCAGAACTGGACTCTGTATTTTTGATATTACACCTCTTGCGGAATCTTCCTTCATTCAAAATTGTGAATTGGCTAGTTCTGCTGCTGCTATTGATAAACCATAGAGAAAGAAATTTATCAGTGAACTAATTAATATCCAGGGCAATGGTCCTGAGGTCCTCTTAAGTAGAAAAACAGTACACTTGAATCCTGTGGTAACAACAGAAATAGCATAAAATCTGTGATTCCTATTCAGGGTGCTTTTGGAATAGATGTCTAAGAGCTGTTCCTCTAACAAAGGTGGTGGCAGATCTTGTTACTCTGCTGGGGATAATCAATGGTGAAGCATCAGTGCCATCCTGTTTGAAGTCGGGTAAAACTTTAGGAATGTTTGTGAGTAAGACTTTGTGAGTAAGGACATAGATGAGCAAATTCCTTTCTAATACTTTTCAGCAGAATATTAGGAGATTTTTATCAAACTAGATTAAAAAAACATATCAAATATGAGATATGTTTTTGTCCTTAGCACTTTTTATTGAAGAATGACCCCTTGGTGACAATCTGGCAGGCATATCAATGTCAGCCGAGAAGGGAGTGGTGGAGGACATAAATACAGAAACATAATTCAGAAAAATAATAGCTTTACATGGGATAGATGATCCCCAACAGTTGTACAACAAACACTGTTTTTTTATAGGAACAGACCCCTACCCCACCCCACCCCTAAAGATCTACTAATCTTGAAACAATACAAAAATACTGTTACAGAAATATTATGAGCATAGATAACTCCTCTGGCAAAGACAATGGGAGTCAGCATGCTTCAGATAGATGATGTGGCCAAAAATATGCCCATCTTCTTCCAGGCGGAGCTTGCTACTGGCAGAGTAGCATCTGCAAGGAGGCTAGGGTTAAGGATGTGGCTCTGGTGCTCCTGCGCAGCTTTTTGGCACATGAGGTTAAACAGAAAACACAACCTGAACCTGGCACTGAAAGAGATTTCTCATTTTTTTTACTCTCTCTCCTTTTCTCTGCTTCCAGTATATCCTTTCTTGGGCTTTATTATTTTTTGTCTCTCTTTCAGATTCTCTGTGGGTATTTTTACCTGGCAGTAAATCTGCCAACCCTGGCTGAGTCTGCAACTGGTACAACTCAAGGAGACTCAATTATCTAGCATCCTGGGGAGAGGATGCAGTGGAGGTGTGGGAGGTGATAGAGATGCTGGCACTGACTCTTGTCCATTTCAATCAATCTGCTCACTACTCATTGGAACCTTTATGAGTATTTGAAGGAATAGGACAGAAGTCAGGACTAATAACTGTCTTTGGGGAAATCCCTTGGCTTGTGTTCTAAACTGCTACCTGCCGGCAAATCTGGGGAAGAGCTGAGCCCAGGAAATGAGAATGGGAAAAGACAATGCATCTCAAATGATGTTGGCAGATTTACTGCCAGGTAAATGATGGAAGTAAGTAGTTCACTTTCGTCTGCCAAGTTTCAATGCTTAGTATAAACTTTTGGGGTTTTTTTTTTGACTTTTTAAAAAGTGATTTGAAAACTGTCCCTCCATGTGAAAACGAGCATCCTTGTGTCATATTCTGACTCTATAAGCTAATTTGGGATAGGATGAGGGACAAAAACAATGGAGTCAATCATACTTTTAATGTCATAAACTTAAGGTACAACCAATCTAACACTGATTGGAAAAACAAAACAAAGCAAAAAAACCTTATCCCTGGTGTTCAGGTAAGTGAACATGCTTTTCCCTGGGCCCACAGTCACAAAACAAACAAACAAACAAAACCAAAAAGCAACAACAAAAAACTATGCAAGTCAAAAAAACGCAGAATGATGGAATACTTCGTCTCTTATTGCAGGAATACAGGATACCTCAAGTTGCTTATTCTTTGCCTCTGAGCCTGCTTTAAAAAAACAAGATGGCAACCACAGCCTCTATTCATCAGCACTCCTCCTACATTCCGCATCCTTAGCTTGGGTACCCATAGCCTTTTACAAGTCATCAACCTTTCCGAAAACAGTAGAATCCTCCACTGGAAGGAAGAATGGCAGTTGACATTCAAACAGTAGTTCTAACAGCAACAGTGATTCTAAGAGCATACTCAGGGTTCCAGAAAAACGGATAACCTCAGACCACTCTGCTGGCCAAGATTCTCCCATTGTTTTCAAATACTTTGAAGAGGAAACTGAAGCTGATGACCAGTATATGTAGCATTAGCAAAGGTCCTTGGCAAATGTTTCAGTTGAACGTGGCACCTCTGCTGCTATAGTTAACCTCCAAAGACCTTGAAGAACTCTGAAGTCACTAGAAGAGATGTCAGGGCTTGGCAGAACTGGGCTGACCAGTACCAAAAGTTGGCCCCAGTTAGCAAGGAACAGCGTTTTAAGCTGGATAACAGGATAGCTTGGCCATCTGCCCACAACTTCCTTCCTGGCATTAGTCACCTGAGAGCTTTTCCAGGATAGGAGCTAGCTACCAGTGTCAGGGCCCTGGCAACAGTAGCGACATTGGTTGTTTGAATGCCTGAGTTCCTAGCTGTATTTATTTCTGGTGGTGGTGGTGGTGGTGATGTGCCATGGAGTCGATTCTGACTCATAGCGACCCTATATAGGGGTGGACCATTATCTGCATGGGCTTGGGCGTGGTTGGATTGGAGGAGCGGGGAGCGGCTGGCCCCAGATCCTCCTGATTTGGTTACGTGAGCCTAGCCACCAGGTTGAAGAAGGCAACTGTTTAGCCTGGAGAGAGTAGAGAAATGGGTGAGCTTTTGTCAGTTTTTGGAGATTGCTTTAGTTTCAGAAAAGAAAAAAAATAGGAAAAATATTGGACCCTGCTAGGGAATGCTAAGATCATGGTCACTCAGACTTCAAGGGATGCACAGGCCCAGGCCACAGTACAGAGGCTCAAGGTGAGGTCTCCTTTTTAGACATTTGTCAGCTATGGTGAGAAGAACTAAGGACCTTGGCACTTGTTTACCAAGTTATTGTGGATTTAGGCCGATCTGTAGAAAACGTTTTCCTTCTGGGCTAACTTTGTTCTGTCAAACTTCCCTCTTCTTCTCTTATTAGTTAAAAACATGGGGGGCGGATCAAAATATAAAAATAAATAAAATCAAAAGGTCTTTTAAAATAAAATAATAAAGAAAAAAAGCCACCCAGACCCAATAATGAAATCTGTGTCCAGGAATCAGCTTTGGTAGAGCTATTAATGGTCCACAGTATGGAGCCATGGAGTGGGCATCTGTAACTGCCAACAATGAAAGGGCAAGGTGGAAACAGAAAGTGTTAAGATTGGAGGAAGGCCACACCAGCTATAACTGACAGAAGAGTTCCTCCCCCTCAACTACTCTGGCTCTTTCTATCAGGGCACCTAGAAATTACCAGCCTTTGTTCCCATTCTGTTAAGTGCAATTTCTAGTTCTGTGTTTCCCACTGCAAAAGCTTGGGTGAGGCCCTGAAATGAGTGGTAGGTGAATGCTTTCAAGGTAGCCAGATCCTTGGGGGAAATGGAACCTTGGGGTAGAGTGGAGCTGCAAAGGCAGCTCCTCTCTGAGCCTTGAAAGGCTGATTACAGTGTAGGTGGGTGGTGAGTAGGTAACATCTTTGGTGTCCTAGTACACAGAAGAACTTTGTTGGTTCTGTGTGCAGTGAGTGCTTGCCTTTGCAAACAGTGGAAAGGAGAGTGTGGTTGTGTGATTATAACTTGTTGCAGCTTCCTTGAGGAGTAGCTTGGGACCCCCTCAGGGTCTCCTAGCTGGTTAGGGGAGCTTCTAGGTAAGGGGCAGTGAGAGAAGTCCAGGGAGAGTATGAAACAAACTGCTAAGTAACTGTTATCTAATTGCTAATTAGAAATTGCTGGGCCCCAGGAGTAGGCTCTCTTTGAGACATTTGAGCTGCTCTTCCCCAAGCTTGATCTTCTCCTCCAGCTCTCGCTGTTCAATGATGAGGGCAGATTTCATCTTCACAAAATGCTGGTAATCTTGGAGCTGGTCCTGAGGCAGGTAGCAGGAGACCATGCCAAACACTAACTTCTCCCGGTGGTCAACATGCTCCTTCAGCTCCTTGGCATCGGCCAACTGCCCCGTCAGCTGCTGCTTCTTCTCTATCAGTACCAACTGGGGAAGCAGAAGACTGATTAAGGATCATCTAATTACCAGTCATCTGCCTAACTCAGTGCTCCACTAGGGATGCTACAGGAAAGCAAGCCTGCATTCTGCTAATTGAAAACCCTAGATTTCCTTGGTTTAAGGTCTACCTACATAACGTCTTTCTTTCCTTTAGCAGTTAAAGATAAAATCACTACATTTTTCATCTTTCCAGCTCAAAGGCTGCCTTTGAGTGGTTCACACATTTCTTAAGAGCAGTAGTTATTAAAATCTTTAATCTGTGGACCACCACTTAGGTTGAGTGGAAGAAGGCTGAGTCCACTATCTCTTCCTCCAGTTACAAAGCCAGCATGTATCTCATTCACTCTGGAAACAACCATCACTCTGATGGCAATTCTTTCTAAACGGTTTGTGTCTCTATGTGAGTATACCAGTATGAGGGTATATACGTGCAGGCACACCTCTTATTGTGGATTCAAATCTGTACCCCAAATCACTTGTAATGGGAATGGTAATGAAATCTTGGTTCAGAAATAAACAAGAGTAACCCAACCGATGCAAATGTCAACCTCCCCTTCCCGCTCTGAAAGTGGGCAAAATTGCTGCTGCTATTATCGCTGGCAGCTAGCAATGATTCAGTGTGTACCCTGTAGTTCCAGGTCCTGTTCTAAGTAATTAACATGGATCATCTAATTTAATTCTCATAAAACCCTCCATGAGGTAGGTCTATCTTCACTCCATTTTATAGATGAAGACATTAAGAAATGAAGTTAAATAAGTTGCCCACAGTCACATAGGTAATAAATAAGTGAGAGTCAGAATTTTAAGACACTCGAAAATCAGTGCCCACATTCTATTTAACAGTGTGCTCTGTTGCCTCCCATAAATAATAGCCAAGCTTGAAAGACATATCCCCAAGGAGAAACAGGGTCCATTTCTCTCCATCCACATCTCAGAGACCCCGACTTTACCTTCTCCTGGTTGGCCTCTGAATCAATGCTGTTGAGAGCATTCTCCACTCGGGCCAGTCGTCCGGAGAGTGACAAAAGCAGGTTGACCACTTTGTCCAGGTCCCCAATAAACAAGCGGTATTTTTCAAATTCATTGGATTTGCAGACAGCTTTCAGGTTGGCCTCTACCTCCTCCCCAAGGGAGGAATTGGCATTGATGTCTTCCAACAGCCCTTGCTGTGCCTCCCGCAGAACAGAGAGTTTTCTGCTAATGCTTTCAATAAGCTGTATCTAGGGGAGTTAAACAGGAAAAGGTAAAGTATGAGAATAGGGATTAAAATAAACCAATCTGTGCCCCAAACTAGTTTTGAGACCCAAGTAACAGTTCCATGGGTTCTATCCTACTCAATGGAAACAAAGGAAATATTAGTCCTGAGCAATTTCAGTTTTGTGGACCTTCTCTCCCAGACTTTGCCAAAGCACTTTGTTCTCTTTAACTCTAGCAGAAATCTCGATGTCACCAACAAACTCCTTGATACAGTGGTTGCAGCTAGGTGCTGTCAAGTCGGTTCCAACTCATAGTGATCTTATGCACAACAGGGTGAAACACTGCCTGGTCCTGTGCTATTCTCACAATTGTTGTTACGTTTGATACCATTGCTGCTGCTGCCACTATGTTGATTCATCTTTGGGGGTCCTCCACTTTTTTGCCAACCCTCCACTCTACCAAGCATGATGTCTCTCTTGATTACATGTCTGAATTATGAGAGACCAAGTCTCACCATCCTTGCTTTTAAGGAGCATTCTGGCTATACTTCCCCCAACACAGATTTGCTTGTGCTTCTGGAAGTCCATGATGCTACTTTCAATATTCTTCCCTAACACCACAACTCAAATGCATCAGTTATTCTATGGTCTGCCTTATCCATTGTTCAACTGTCACATGCATATGAGGCAACTGAAAATATCATGGCATGGGTCAGGCACACCTTAGTTCTCAAACAGATATGTTTGCTCTTGAACACTTTGAAGAGGTCTTCTGCAGTATATTTGCCCAATGCAATGTGTCATTAGATTTCTTGACTGTTGCTTCCATGAGTGTTGATTGTGGATTCAAGCAAAATGAAGTCTTTGACAACTTCAATCTTTTCTCCATTTATCATTATTGGTTCAGTTGAGAGACGGGTTTTTAGTAAGTTTTTTTTTCCCTCTCTGTTCAAATCCTTTTAATCATTGTTCCCAACCATTACTGCCCTGACTAACCTATCCCTTGTGCTCCAGGAACATATAGTCTAAGAATTTAGTGCCATATTGTTGATTTAACCCTAGGATAAGAAGACAAGTCAGGAGGAATGCCTGAGGGTCATGATTCTCATCCCTTAAAAAAAAAAAAATGTTACTTTAAGACAAAGGTTTCAAAAAGGCCATTATCCTTTACATTATCCTATACAAGTATCTCATGTATCCCCGAATGAAAGAGCCATAAAACTCTGAGAAAAGAATGTAACAGTGCACATAGATTGATACCTAGAGGGGAGAAGAGTTCAGACTGTATGGGAGAGGGCAAGGCAGTCTTTCAGAGAACGATTCTCACTGCCTTCCAGATCTGTCAATAAAACATATGTTGATTCTCACCCTGTCTGATTTTGGCTACAGTAGATAGTGGTCAGACATTTGTCTGGTAACACAGTGGGAAGGATTTTTTTTATTTTTTTTTTATTGAGGTGCGATCCATACTTAAGGCTATGACAATAAAAAGTTATAGCAATTATTATTTTCGTTATCATCATCATCATCATCATTGTCGTTATTACTGGGCACTCTTGAGTTAATGAATATTTGCTTACTGCAAGGTACTGATAAAATGGGCTCATCCAACATGTCCACAGCCTTTGCAGCCAGTACTGAATATGGTTAAGAGCATGGACTATCTGGGTTTGAACACCAGGTCAGCCATGAAGTAGTGATGTGACCTTGAACAAATTACTCAATGTGTGCTTCAGTATATTCTGCTAAGAAAATTTAAATAACCATAGTACATACTTCACAGAGTAGAGAATGAAAATGAGTTAATACATGTTACATGCTTAGAATGATGGCTTATACATAAGAAGCTGCATTAGTGTTTTACTATTATCCTAGCCCATGCACTCTGGGACCAGAGGATCGTAGTTTGCTACAGTGTTACTCCTCTCTAGTGGTTTATTTAGAGATGTCCAAGGTGACCAAGACCAAAATTAGGAAGTCACCATGATCTTAATCTAAAGTGTAATATATTTGCTTCTGGGAAAAATTCCAAAATCCACTAAGGGTTGGGAATCAGTGATATAAATGAGACAATTAGATGCCAAGAGGCTACCCTCTGCTTGTCCTCAGCAAAACTCAATGCCAGGAACAAGGTATGGCTGGGGACTAAATAACCAACTTGGAAAATCACTCATCTACCATGCTCCTCACCCCAGGTCCAGAAGGATGAAAGTGTACAGAGCACCAGTCCTCTGCAACCTGACTCTGGACCCTGGGGAAAGTATAGAGAAGAGGGCTGTGGAGGGCTCAGATATTGAAAATTGGTAACACTCCTCACTTGTTTAAGGAGTTCTGGTTGCATAGTGGGTTACGCATTGGGCTGCTAACTGGAAGGTCAGCAGTTTGAATCTACCACCTGCTCCTGTAAAATTCAGTCTCGGAAATCATATACAGAGCTGCTATGAGTCATAATCGACTCAACGACACACAACCACAACTACCTCATTTTTCTTCCCGAGATACAAAAACTGTCCTAATTGAGCCACAGTTACTTCAAATCACTCTCTGCTGTTCCATGCTTTGATTTTTCTCATCATTTCTCTCTTCACCTGGTCAGGCTGTTATTTGGTCTGCTCATGATGAGAAGTCCTGGTGTAGTGCTGTGGATTAATGCGCTGGACTGCAAGGTCGGTGGTTCAAGCTCATCACTTGCTCCTTGGCTATCCTATACAGGGTAACTATAAGTCGGAATCGACTTGACAGCACTTAACGACAATAACAACATGCTGATACTAGTAAACCAGGAGCAGCTTCCCTATGCTGAAAGAACATGGGATCCAAGGAAGTAGTCATTTGAATCAATAAAACTTCTATATCACCATGCTTCCAATTCCTTCCCTGACATTTTGCTTCAGATGGTAAGTTGGGGGAAGGGCTCTTGCAAATGGCCCTGAGCTTTCCTACAGGTCATGTCCTGAAAGAGAAATATGGGAAGAGGTGCAATTTATATTGAGTTCATATGTTCACAAAGTGATACATTAGGCCTTCCAGGTTGCCATGGCAACCCTATTTGCTTATGAAATCAAATGGGTAAGTGCAGAGAGGGCAAAATGATTCCAGGAATTTGATTACAAAACAGGCTAGCAGTACTTAAAGGGAGAAAGGGGAAGACTTTCTAACAACAACAACATCATCATCTCCACTTATCCATTTTAGTATTTTTAAGAGTTTATCAGCCATCCTTGCAAGTCAAAGTTAAGTTTAGAAGTTTGTCATCCTATAATTTTCCCATTTTTTTCATAGTCTGTGCTCTCTCCTAGAAAGTTACACAGATAACGAAATAAATGACACTACCATTGTCGTTTATGAGAGATCTCTGGCAGAAACTATGATGTGCCCTGACTCGGGAGTTATTTACAAGGAGGGTTTATTTCAGAAGGAGAGCAAGGCAGAGTAGAGCTTCGGACACTGCTGAGTTCAAGTTTTGGATCTAAAACTTTCTCTGCAACCCTGGGAAAATTAGGCCCCTTAATTGTTTTTTTGTTTTTAAAAGCGGGAGGTGGGGGATAGTAATATCTACCTTATAGAGTTTTTCTAAGAGTTAGAGAGACATTGTGATGATGATTATGATTATTCCTCTTACCACTATTATTGAGCACTGAAAGGATACACATAGAGTCCATGAAGCAAGTTATGTCTGTATGTGAGTTACATTTATTAGACTTAACCAATCAATACTAGTATCCTGATCAAAAAAAGACTGCAGTTGGTTTTGTGAGAAACCCAGAAATCCCCTTTTATTTCTGTTTTGAAAATATAGGAATGCACCAAGATGGTCTAGAGTGTTTAGAGGGCTGGTTACTTTCCAGAAAAACAAGCTAAACAATCTCTAGGGTGTCTCAAAAAATTTTACCTTTTTTTGAGCCAGTTCATGGTCAACTTCCTCCTCTCCCAGGCCAATCTCTGCCATTTCCGGCTGGTCTTTCAACTTATTCAGAAGCTCTGCCTTTGCCACAGAAATATTGTAATAAGCTGAGTATGAGGTAGGGATCCCTGGGGTCCCCCGAGGAGGGGAAAAGTGCTGAAATTCTTGTCTGTAGAAACAAAGAATGACCATTTAAGGCTGCTGACCTTTCTGACTCTTAATTTCCCCATCTGTAAAATGGGACTCTGCTAAATTAGGAAGTTGTGAAAAAAGGAAACAATGGATCAAAAAGAATGGTTTAAATGCAAAAAAGTCCAGAAGCTAAGGAAAGGCAAACTTCAAGAAGTTATTAGAAGGCTATTGCTGTATCTCTAACTTCATCAGTTAGGACTTCTGCACAGAAAATTTGGTTTGGTTATAAGCACCACAAAAAAACAAAAAAAAAACTGGCAGACGCCTCAAGTTCTCGATTTCTGATAATAATGATTACCCCTGATTCATGACCCCAGTACATGGATCCCAAGAGAAGGAGTAGGTGTTAATATTAGATCTTAGCCATTTGTCCTCCAAGCATATTGACCTTCATACGGATCACCCACTCCCACCCCAGGCTCTAGTCTCTAGTAAGCTTGCTTACAAAAGTGTTCTGTGGCTTTCTTGGACACTCTCATCATTTCTTCTTTCCTGATGCGACTCCTGCTTGAAAGGGTCCCTCCACTGCAGATCTCCCACAGCAAAGAGGTCACCCATGACCTCAGCAGTGGTCACCAAGTTGGAGGCTGGATTTAGCACTCCTGCCAGGGACTTGCCATGGCCTACCACATCTGTCATGAGCTCTTCTGAGACTGCCTGCTGTGGGGTAGAACTTTGGCCTGAGAAAGGATCGTGTCTCTCCACTTCTGGTGTATCCCCAACAGACCCAGCTTCCTCCATGGTTGCAGAATGAAATGGGAAAAGAGTGGAACCAGTGGGACCCATGGGATTGACAAGTGTAGCAGTAGACCCTGTAGTCTTGGGTTCACTAACGCCTGTGGGATTGAAGTGCTGTTTCTCAGAGCCCCAGCCCATAAAAGAGAACTTCTCTTCAGGAAAGAAGTAGCTCTGGTTCCATGCTGGTTTAGGTTTTGACTCTTCTGCCATCAAGGCCTTTGGTCTGGAGTAAGGAAGGAAGTAAAGAGAAATGCTTCACAGTCAGATTTCAGAGATGATGGGGCAAATAATTCCACCCATGGTTTATGCAAGTGAAAGGCTCACACCACTGTATTCCTTTTTGCCTAGCCAGCCCCTCTCCCTTCACCTGTCTGTGTTACTGCCAACTTTGCTAACCTCTGTTTGAAATGGAAAAATAGATAAGCTCAGTCATCTTTGAAGCTATTTGTAGCTCTTAGATAAAGGTCAAAATAGTGGTTAAAAGACTCCACAGCCATTTACTGATTCATGCTATGCTGTCTAATTCATCACAGAAAAGAAATTTAGCTGTGCTAACATTTCTCATTCTAGGTAAATTCACTTTCCATGTAAGTTTTCAAGCTTATATCCCTAAGAAAGGAACACAATTAACTAACATTTGTACAGTGTTTTAGTATGCCCCAGAAGCTGCACTGAGACAGACGGATAGATAGATACATAGATAACAATATAGTTTAGTGCTCATGGCAACCATTTTTCAGATAAGGAATATAAAGCAAAAAGACGTGAAGTGATTTGCTTAAGAGCATTAGCTAATAAAGGGCAGAGCTGTGATTTGGACAAAGGTAATGGCCAAACTTCGTCTCATACTTCGGACATACTGTCAGGAGGGACCAGTCAGTCACTGGAGAAGGGTATCATGTTTGGTAGGGTGGAGGGTCAGAGAAAAAGAGGAAGGCCCCCAGTGAGATGGATTGGAAAAGTGGCAGCATCAATGGGCTCAAGTGTGGCAACTGTGAGGTTGGCCCAGGACTGGGCAGTGTTTCGTTCTGTTGTGCATAGGGTCGCTATGAGTCAGTACTGACTTGATGGCGCTTAACAACAACAACAATCTGACTATAGAATTTGTGCTTTTAACCACTATGCTGTATTGCCAAAGGGACCACTTAACATCATCTGAAACTCCACAACTAAGGAATTCTGTACCTGGAATATATGAAGGGGCTTCAAAAAGTTTGTGAAAGCAATGGAATTAAAAGATAATGGGATTTTCCCACAAACTTAAAAAACAACAACAACAAAACCCCTTTATTGTGAATTGAGTGATTTGCAAGGCTATAAGTCTTTATGGAAGAAGACTGCCACATCTTTCTCCCACAGAGCAGATGGTGGGTTCAAATTGTAGAACTTTACAGATCGCAGCTAAGCACTTAGCCTTTATGCCACTGGGGCTCCTTCCTGTCCTTTATATAGATGATCTTAATCATCACAAAAATCATGTGAGACAGGTATCCAGTGAAAAACTACGTAAGATAAGCACTGGACTGCGAACCACAAAGTCCATGGTTCAAGCCTGCAAGCTACTTCGCAGGAGAAAGATGAAGCTTTCTGTTCCTGTGAAGATTTAAAGCTTCAGAAACCCTACACAGAAATGCTATGAGTCAGAACTGACTCGATGGCACTTAACCACAACAACAGGAGCAGTTTAACTGACCAGACCAAGGCCATGCAGCTGATAAATGGTAGAGGTGGAATTCAAACTCTTGTTGCCTGCCTGATATGACTCCAGAACCTGTTCTGCCTCTTCAGGGACCCAGTCAGTATCTTTTATAAGCACTTACTTGGGGGAGTTAGTAGCCTTGCTGTCCAGGGTCAGCTGTTCTGGTGTCCTCCAAAGCCCACCGGTGCCATAATAGCAAGGGGGCGGAGCCTGCTCAGGTTGCGATCCCAAGGGGCCACCTATTAGAAGTAGATTAGGCAGGAAATTGCTGGAATGGAGACCAAAGGACTTTTGCTCTGCTGGGAGACTTTGTGAACTCTGCTTCAAGACCTCCAGGTGACCGAAATGCAAGGGTTGTGGCCTCTTCAGCACATCCTCAGTGTTGAGGGCAGAGGAAACAGTGGTTTCTGAACTGAAATACTGGGGTGGCAGTTCTTCCTCCTCTTCTTCTACCTCCTCTTCTTCCTCCTCTTGTTGTTGTTGTTGTTGTTGCTGTTGCTGCTGTTGCTGCTGCTGCTGCTGCTGCTGCGCAGCTCTAAGGAGCCTGTACTTCTCCCAGTTGGGAGGGGGAGGGCGAGGAGGAGGAAAGGCCTTCTTCCTGGCTCCAAGAGGTTCTGGTTGGGTCTCATCAACTTTGGCATAGAGCTCCCTCCGATTCTGACCCCAGGCCCGGGAGTTCTGTTGCTCCAAGCTAATATGACTCTCTGAGAAAGCACGACTGCGCAGTGGACGGGGTATGGAAGCAATGGAGCTCCCCTCTTCATAAATTGAAGTTTCCTCTGTTTTCTTCGAGGAATGCTTGAAGTCTCCACGCAGGTCAAGGGAAGAAATTGCTCGGTAGCTTGACAAGTCTAGTGCTGGGTTCTCAACACAACGATGGAAAGGGTTGGCCCATGAAAAGCTACCTTTGGAATGAGCAGTTTCCCTGAAAAACAGCAGATGAGGGTTGAGTAAAACAAGCAAGTTACAGATAAAACTATATTTTGGATGACATCATTAATGTAAAATTTAAAACTGCCATAAAACAATAAAATATATGTAATAAATGTAATACTGCTACTACTAATATAATGCTGGCTCACACTTACTGAAGGAGCCCTGGTGATACAGTGGTTAAGCATTCAGCTGCTAACTGTAAAAGTCGGCAGTTCGAATCCACCAGTGGCTCTGTGGGAGAAAGATGTGGCAGTCTTCTTCTGTAAAGATTTATGACTTTGCAAATCCTATGGGGGCAGTTCTGTCCTACAGGAATGCTATGAGTCAGAATGGACTCAGTGGCAGTGGATTTGGGTTTGGTAACACTTTAGTGAGCTGATATGAAACGCCAGACCGTGCTTTAAATGTTTACATGTATTAACATATTTAATCCTTACAATAGCCCTATAAAATTGCCATTACTTTTGTCCTGATTTTACAGCTGGGGAAACTGAGGCATAACAAGGTAAGTAACTTGCCTGGGATAGTGAAGTTACTTAGTGGTGGAACTAGTATTTGAACCTCAACAGTCTACCTCCAAAATCTGAATATATACATATCACCCTGTCTGTTTGTAGCATTCAGAATGAACAGGCTATGTTCTAGGGCTTACCAGTTAGATTATCTTGCCTTATCTGTTGTGTTTATTTTAGTTTTAATTATGGAACATGTCAAATATTTAGAAATCTACAGAGATTACTATATAGTAAACACTATGTCCCCACCCACTGCCAAGAATGAGATTATTTTAATAACATTTATTTAATGGATTTTAATAATATGCTTCATGATTTTTTAAGAATAAGATTACCCTTTGTATCATTTTCCACCGTCATTCCTCTACTGCCTCTCTAAATACAAATTGCATCATAAATTTCTGTCCAGGTTCTTATACTTGTAACAAAAAACATCAAGCAGGCCATCCACAAATAATGCAATTCCCACCAGAATTCTCAGCAGGAATGTTTTAACTTTAGAATTTTTTAAAGTTATCTTGAATAAAAGCAGGATATATTAAAGAAAATTCTGCTATAGAAAAAAATGTGGATATTATAATTACAATTAAAACGATCAATTCTACAATTAAAACAATGTGCTACTGATTAATACAACAGAATGGAAAGTCTAGACACAAACCAAACTATCTATTAAAAGACCATATATAATTAGCCTTCCAAAGCAAGAGATAAAGAAAGATTACTGAGTAATCTGTTAGAATAACTGCTGTTGTTGAGTGCCGTTGAGTCAGTTCTGACTCATAGTGACCTAGGAGTATAGGGTTTCTGAGGATGTAAATCTTCACAGAGGTAGAAAGTCTCATCGTTCTCCTGCAGAACAGCTGGTAGGTTTTAACCCTGTGGTTAGCAATCCAGTGTTCATCCTACAGCACCACACCAGGGTTCCTTTATACATCCCTATGTTGTTGTTGTGTGCCATAAAATTGGTTCTGACTCATAGTGACCCTCTGACCTTGCAGTTATCAATCCAATGCTTATCCTACAATACCACACTAGGGCCCTTGTTATTGTTGTTGTTAAGTGCCATCAAGTCTTTTCTAACCCATAACAGCCCTGTATAGGGTTGCCAAAGAGTGGCTAGTAGGTTTGAACTGCTGACCTTGCAGTTCAAAGGGAAATTGTGGTCTAGCATTTTATCTGGCAGCGCCACACCAGGGCCCTTAGGAACCACTAAAAGAACCCATTCAACCTAAACACTTCAAGAACTGTCATAAAGACCTCCTAAGACACATATACCTTAAAACTCTCTCATGAAATGTCATAATAAAATTCTTGACCATATTGTCTACTTCCTGTGGTTGTTGTAAGTGCTGTCAAGTCAGTTCCAACCCACAGTGACTCAGAGGGTTTCTGTGGAGTGGCTGGTGGGTTTGAACCACTGACATTGCAGTTAGCAGTCCAGTACTTATCCTACAGAGCAACTCCCTAAGTCCTATCATTGTCCCTATCCTCTTCCCCTTATCAGATTCCTAGAAAAAAACACTAATGGAGAGAGAGACACATTCACACTTACGAAAACTTTACTCATGCTACCATTGCCCCACCACGCAAAAGTAGAAAATATATACTCATTGACAGGGAAGGCGAATCTCCTATACTGTTATAAAGGGAAAGGTGGGAGGTAAAAAAAAAAGAGAAAATAATATTTTCTATTTATTAGTGAAAGTAAAAAAGAAAAACTTTCAGGCATAGAATAACTGTAGAGCAGTGTTACTTGGAACTATACCATATACAAGGGTTGTTGTTGTTGTTGTTAAGTGCCGTCGAGTCGGTTCCGACCCATAGCGACCCTGTACAGGGTTTCTGAGGGTGTAAATCTTTACGGGAGTAGAAAGCCTCATCTTTCTCCCGCGGAGCAGCTGGTAGTTTCGAACCGTTGACCTTAAGGTTCGCAGCCCGATTCGTAACCACTACGCTACCAGAGCTCCTTATATACAAGGGTAAGTAAATAAAATATATATTGCTATAAAATCATAAAAAACTTTTATTAAATAATAATATCAAAAATGCACAGCTATTGTTTCTCAACATATCCTCCATCTAGGTCTATACATTTCTGAAGATGGTGTTTCCATCTCTCTAACCCTTTCCCTCCAAATTCTGGGCTCTTTGATTTACAATGGCAGTTTTGTTTTAGCGTTCTCCAGGGATTCAAATTGTGTTCCCTTAAAATGTTTTTGAGTTTGGGGAACAAAAAGAAGTCTGGAGAGGCAAGATTAGGGCTGTAGGGTAAATGGGGAAAGGTAGTCCAATGAAATTCTCAAAGAGTAAATAAGTACATTGTCATCATGGTGAAAAAAAAAAAAAAATCCTCAGCACAACTTTCCTGGCCTTTTCTTGCCAATGCAGTTTTTAATTTCTTAAAATTTCTTTATAATAAAGACCCCATGATTGCCCTGTGTTCTTCAAGAAAATCTGTCAAAATTACCGTTTAGTATCCCAAAAAAGAGTCGATGAGCCTTGGTGGTACTGTAGGATAAGCACTGGACTGCTAACTCTAAGGTTGGCAGTTCAAACCCACCAGCAGCTCCACTGGAGGAAGATGAGGCTTTCTGATGCTGTAAAGATTTCCAGCCTTGGAAACCCTATACAGGATCATGAGTCAGAATTCACTCAGTGGCAGTAGGGTTTGGGTTTTTCGGGGTTATAATCTTCTGATCTGCTTCAAAATTAACTGGCCCAGCAAATCCCCTCGAAAGTCACACTTTTGAATGGAGTTTGCTCCTTAGATGGTATTGGTAAATCCTAAATTCATTCCCAGTTATGATTCATTCCATCAAATAAACTTTGTAACTTGTATCTTGCTTCAAAGACTGATGGAAAGATCCCTCTTTGAGCTAGCTGGTCTTCACACCCATCGAACCAAAAGCTTGCTGAGGTCAAGATGCACACTTAAAAATGGAAAATGCAGGACCATGTGAAATCCCAACTTTAGTAGCTATTCCATCAGTGGTAATTCTATGGTCTTCTTCTATCAGTTTCTGTACTTCAGCAAGTTTCTTCATGTAGAGAAGTTGACAGTCTTCCTTCTCATAACTCTTCTTTGAGGTCTTCCTGATTGCCTCAAAAAGGCTTTATCTAGCTAAATACTGTTGATTTGTGTGTGGCAGCACTCCCATCAACTTGTTGCAAAGCTTCAATGATTTGGGAAGACCACTAAAGCTTTGTTAAAAATTTGATATTAGCTGTGACCTCAGAATCATTTTTTAAAAAGTTTTTATTGTGAATTATGTGATAGTTTAAATGGGAGAACATTAGCGTTACATTCATCCTTCTTGTTGTTAAGTGCTGTCGAGTCGATTCCGACCCATAGGGACCCTGTATAGGGTTTCCAAGGAGCAACTGGTGCACTTGAACCACTGATCTTGCAATTCAAATGGCTTTGCAGTCTGACGTATTAGCCCACAGCACCACACCAGGACTCCAGCATTCATCCTATCCTATCTTATTTCATTGCAATGATTACAATTCCTTGTATGCATCATCAAACAGCCAAAGCCTGCCCACAAGCCTGCCCCCTGGCCGTCAACACACAGATCCTCTCCCTCCATGAGTCCAGAGTCCCCAGCTGCTCCATCTCTCCACGTCATCATCTCTGCCTTCATCTCTGGTGTCACTGCTTCTCTGGTGTCACTGGATAGGGTCTCTACCTCCATCTCGGGCATCGCTGCTTCTCTGGATAGGGTCCTGCACTCCGCTCTTCTCCCTTGATGGTCCTAGGGTCCTCTACTCCTGGACTGCAAGTTCAGCCACTCCCCTCCTTTTGTTACGTCTACCTAAAGGTAGACGTTTTGCAACACTCACAATCAGTCCTGTTAGCAATTATTCGCTATTTTAAACACAAGAGTCTTATCTCCATCTCCTTTCACCTGCCCCATCCAGACAGATTGGAAAATACTCAGTGAAGAGTCTACCTTCCCTGTACTCTCTGAAATTAGGCTCCCTCTTGAAAGCTTGTAAACCAGTCACTTCTTGCCTTGAAGAATAACAAGGAAGCTGCAAGCCACCGCATAACATGGATGAACGTTGAGGACATTATGTTGAGTGAAATTAGTCCATCACAGAAGGAGAAATATAGCATAGGACCATTATTGCACAAAATTAAGAAAAAATACCCACACTAAAAGGGGGAAAAATTATTTGTTGGTTACCGGGATGTGAGGGGGTGGGGTGAGGGGAGGGAGGGGAAGGTGGAGCACAGGGTAGGGAATAGACACAGGATAGTTTGGGTGCTGGGGAGAGGGGAAAGAATGGGGAAGGGAATGGAAGAAAAAGGTGGATGGGAGAACATTTAGGCAGGTTTGCATGGGTAAGTGGGACAGAGGTAAATAATGATGTAGCCACAACCTTGGAATAACAGGCCTCTGTGATTCAGGGATTAAGATATGGTTTTAATGGGTAAAAGAGGGGGAATAATGTTAAGATGCTTGGT